CTGATGTAAAAATACTGGACCTATGTAAGGCTGAGAGTTCCTGTGTTTCTTGAATTCTAGGGTATGGACTAACCCAGGAATACTCCTCGCCCACTGAGTACATCTTCTAAAGATTTCAGAGCAGCAGCCTCTTTCTTCCTTAGGCTGTGGTGATGGTGGTGGTGGTGGTGGTGGGGTCGTGGTGATGTGCCGTGGAGTTGGTTCCAACTCATAGCAACCTTGCATAGGGTTTCCGAGGCCGTAAATCTTTACAGGAGCAGAAAGCCTCACCTTTCTCCCAAGGGAAATGGAAATGGTTTTTCTGCTTTAGAGAGAGCTCAGTGTACTGTAATATTAGATTTGGCATTGTCCTAGGCTGGATATAAGAAGATGGCTATATTGCTATCTAGAAAAATATTATAATAGGTTGACAAGTATCCTATTCAATCATATTGTTAAGTGCCATTTAGTGAACTCTGACTCATAGCAACCTGATTTAGGGCATACTGGATTCATCCTATGTGTGCTTCCATATTGGACATAATGTCATTGGGATATTTAAGCTGCAGAGAAGAGGCCCGGGCCAAGCAATAACCTTTTTATTCCAAGAAATGCACAGGCAAATAAAGCCCAAAAATGATTTCAGAAAATGTGAGTGCTGTGAAGAAAATAGAATTGGCTGCAGAGTTGAAGAGAATGACTGAGAAGAGAACCTGTTAAAGACTGAATTTTGTCCCTCCAAAATGTGTGTTGTAAATCCTAATCCTGTGGTTTTAATCCCGTTGGGAATTGGTTTTTTTTCCATTATATCAGAAGGAGCTCTGGTAGCGTAGTAGTTACAAATTGGGCTGCGAACCACAAGGTCGGCAGTTCAAAACTACCAGATGCTCCATGGGAGAAAGATGAGGCTTTCTGCTCCCGTAAAGATTTACAGCCTCAGAAACCCTGTACAGGGTTGCTATGAGTCGGAACCAATTTATCAGCACATAACCACCATCACTGATGAGGAAGTATTAATATAGGATTTTTAAAAGTCAATTTATTAAAAAAGACAAAAAAAAAAGTCAATTTATTTTGAAATATGAAAGAGCAGATTAAGCAAATAAGTAAGCAGAGATGGGGGATGATCAATGCTAGGCCACATAAAGATCACCAAAGAACTGAAGAGCAGAAACTGAAGAGACAAAGACTTTTTCCAGAGCCAATAGTGAGAGAAAGCCTTCCGCTAGAACCAACCAGAGTCCTAAATTAGAGCTTCTAGTCTCCTAATCTAGAGAAAATAAGTTTGTTTAATAAAACTTGTGTTATTTCTGTTATCGCAGCAATAGGTAACTTAGGTGGAGAGGAAAGCTCCACTGCTGACATTTGAAGAGAGACTGGAAGTGTTATAGAGTAAAATGGAAGAGTCTGATTGAAATTAAATATAAAGAACTTTAATTAAGGGACAAGGCAATTTGCATATTGGGAATCACGAAGGTCCAGAGGATTCTAAACTAAATTATCCAAGAAGAAGACTGTTCAGAGATTTTAATGATGAATGTGATGTCATTGCTCTTCAGTTTGTTATTCCCAACATAGTAAACCATGTGGCTGTCAGATTCAAAATGGCCAATACCAGTCCATTTTGGCTAATGCCTAAGATATCAGTGTTTATACATTCCATTTCATTTTTGACAGTTTCCACTTTTCCTAGATTCTGCTTCATACGTTCCATGTTCCAATTATTAATGGATTTTTACAGTTGTTTCTCTTCGTTTTGAGTTGTGCCCCATCAGCAAATGAAGATCCCAAGGGCTTTATTCCTTTCATGTCATCATGGTCAACTCTACATTGATGAGGCAGCTCTTCCCCAGTTACCTCCCAACCTGAGGGGCTCATCTTCTGGCACTATATCTGACAATATTCTGGTGCTCTTCATCATGTCTCAATACTCAGTAATCTGGTGCTGACAGTGTTCCACTGCTATTCATAAGGCTTTCATTGACTAAATATTTTGAAATAGTTGTCTCTCCTTCTTCCTAGTTTGTCTTCGTCTGAAAGCTCAGCTGAAACCTGTCCACCATGGGTGACCCTGCTGATATTTAAAATACCGGTGGCATAGCTTCAAGAATCACAGCACCACACAAGCCGCCACAGTAGACAAACTGACAGACCAGTGGTGGGTTCTGACTCATAGCAACCCTGCATAGGGTTTCCAGGAGCCACTGATATTAACCCACAGCACCATACCAGGACTCCACAGCTATATAGTAAGGACCTAGTGATCTAGGATCTAGTAATCTAGGATCTAGTGAGGACTAAATAAGTACAGAAAGGGGTGGCACTCTATTTCCAAGGAACCTCCACCCCTTTGTTGCTGTGGTTGTTAAGGACCCTAGAGTCAGGTTCCAACCCATAGGGACCCTGTATAGGGTTTCCGAGAAGCAGCGAGTGAACTTGAACCACCAGGCCTCCGGGTTCAAGCGGACTTTGCAGTCCAGCGCATTAACTAACAGCGCCACACCAGGACTCCTCTACCCCTTTACTAGGAATTAAACAAATATCCCTCCTCTTTATTAATTTATGTTGGAGCAGATTCGTTAAAAATACAGATCCAAAACCCTACCTCTATCTCCTCCACTCTGTGGAGACAAATCCAGTTCTCTACTTTGACAACGGACTTTCCCTTTGCCAATAAACTGCTTGTGCAGGTGTCTTGTTTGATCTTGGTGGAGTGCAACTCGCCCCCAGTTCTTTGGGAGTGGAGTGAAATAATGAATCTACAACAATAGATTTTTTGTTTGTTTTAATTTTAAGTTACAAAGTAATCATTAAATTTGATACTTTTGTCCTGAAACAATCATCAGACTTGTTTTGCATAGGAGCCATTGTGGCACAGTGGGTTAAGCACTGAGCTACTAACCACAAGTTGAAATCCAGCAACTGATGGGGAAGGCTGTCTGTTCCCATAAAGATATACAGTCTTGGAAATTCTTTATAAGTGTCGTCGAGTCTGTTCCGAACCATAGCGACCCTGTATAGGACTTCCAAGGAGCCTCTGGTGAGCTTGAACCACCGACCTTGCAGTTCAAACTGCTTTGTAGTCTGGCGCATTAACTCACAGCGCCACACCAGGACGCCAGGAAATCCTATATAGGATCCCTAAAAGTCAGAACTGACTCAAGGGGAGTTGTTCTTGTTTGGGGTTGGAGTTTAGTAAGGAGGACAGTCTATCTTGAGTGAGCATTTGTTTTGAGAATTGTTCTGAGTAGGGTGTATTCTTAAGCAAGCAAGCAAACAAAATCGCATTTAAAAAAAATTATTTCCAACTAACCACAAGGTTAGTGGTTCAAACCCACCAGTCACTCTTTGGTAACCCTACTTGCTATGAGTCAGAACCGACTTGACAGCACTTAACAATTTGATCAGGACACGGGTCAGTTACAGAAATGACAGGCTGTATTCTTATTGCAAAAATTACTTTTGATTCAAAACGGTGTTTTAGCCCAGACTTTAATCCTAATTTGGGGTGCTCTTTCTCATGAAAGAGTCCACAGGGACTCTAGATACATTTCCTGGAGGAATTTTAATGGGAACAAAGAGCATGGACTGTAGCTCATGGTATCCTTGGAATCCTATTGTTGTTAAGATCTTGACTCATAGAGTCTGTGTAAGGTTTTCTAAGTGCAGCTGGTGGACTTGAACCACAAACCTTGTGATTAGCAGTCAAGTGCTTATTCTACAGCGCCAGATCGGAACTCCTAAGAGGACGCTATTTGATTTTTAACGTGGTGCTGTGGGTTAGGCATTGGGCTGCTAACCACAAAGTTAGCTGTTCAAACTCACCAGCCTCTCAGAGAGACAAAGATGAGGTTATCTGATCCTGTAGAAGATTTACAGTCTCAGAAACCCTATGTAGTAGGTTGCTATGAGTCAAAATTCACTTGGTAGCAGAGGGTTGGGTTTGGTTTGCACCCTGCAGCATGTCGTTGTTTGCTGCTGGCAATTGAGAGGTGGAAATTAAAAGCAACCTACAAACTAGGAAAAATTAGAGATGATGTCCTTGAACTGACTGGAAAGGATAGGATCAACATATAGGAGGGCTTGACTGTTTATATTCTAACCTTTCTCGCTCAAACAAGTCTTTGGTTGTTAAACCCAAGTGTTCAGTACAGAAACAAAGAATTATTCGCTACGCATTCCGTGATTCCCTTTGCAAAGAACTACAAGAACCACAGTTCCCAGCAGGCCGTGCGTATGAGGTGGCCAGTGCGCAGGCGCACGCCACCATCTCCCGACTCTGCCCTCCCCCGGCCCAGGCTCCATTTCCGGGCTGGAGTCACCTAAATGCAGCGGACGGTTTCCTCTTAAAAGAGAAACAGCGGCAGTGCACGAGGTGGGCCCCCTGCCATCTCATCACTCTCCGGGCTCTTGCACGAGGCCGCCAGGGCGCAGCCGCAGTTGGGGTGAGGGGTGGGGGTGGGAGAGTGCAGGTAAGGTTGGAATGCGGGGTGGCAGCGGTGGAGATTCTGGGCCGCCTGGGATCTGCTTTTGGGATTTGGCCTGGCTAAGTGGAGTGGCTAGAGATTGGGTGGGGGACATCCTCCAGACCCCTGCTCTCTCAACCGCACTTGACCCAACCTTGGAAGAGCACCTATGCAAGCCAGGACACAAATTTCCCTCACCCCCTATTAACCAATAAATGCAGATACCGTCAAGAAATATCTGCAACTCTCCAGTTAAAATTACCCTTTACCGCCAGCGAAAGTCTCAAGCTCTTTCCATATAGCTACTGTTTACATTCAGTGCTCCCACACACTAAGGGCTTGTTCTAACTTTGACCTTTTCCCCCCACTTCCCACTCCACAATACCCATCGCTGAATTTATACAACAAGGGGTGACTGGGACCCAATTGCAGCAAATGATCTTTAAATATTTTAGCCCTGTCCGATTTCACTGAGAAACTGAGGCCCCAAAGGGCCTGCCCCCAGATCAAGTTGTCCCAGCTGGTTCATATCCTCTCCTCTCCAGGTCCTGTAACATGGCCTCTTCCCCTGCGGATGCGTCCCACAGGCGGCGAGAAAAGCGAAGGCAGCTGGACGCTCGCCGCAGCAAGTGTCGAATACGTCTGGGCGGACACATGGAGCAATGGTGCCTCCTGAAAGAGCGACTGGGCTTCTCCTTGCACTCACAGCTCGCCAAGTTCCTGTTGGACCGGTTAGGGGCTTGGGGAAGAAAGGGGCTCTGTGGGAGGGCTCCCAGCTCACCTCCCCAGGGCCAAGTTATAGTCTCTTCAGGCCTGAAGAGATTTCACTTTAGCAGCCCAGTCATTGTGATAAGGTTTTCCCAGGTTTCTCTTCCCCTGTTGTAGTTTCCAGGGACTATGGGTCCTTAGGGCTGGCCCCTTAATTATATGCTGCAAGTGCCCATGGCTAAGGGCATTTCACCAACTCAATATCTACCTGAACTGTCTCTTCTCCTGCTGGCAGGTACATTTCTTCCGGCTGTATACTCTGTGCAGGTAGGTGGGACATGGTTGGAGAATGGGAGAAGAGGGAGGACAGAGGTGCTCAAGTTATGGGGGTGGTGTAGATGTGCTCAAGGTAGGGGACTGGTAGGGCTTAGGAGACAGAGAGGAAGAGTGGCAGCTGACAGTGGTGTGCCTCTCAGTCGGATGGTGTGCCTCTCTTAGGTTGACAGGTCACAGGAAGCTGTGAGTGAGTTTGGGAAGCTCAGGATAGTGTGATGGGTAGGTCCTGGGAAGGGAACAAAGTCTCAGGACCCTTAGGCCACTTCTGGATTCAGAAGAATGGTAAACTGGAGGAGGAGGGGATAGGGTTACTCAGGGAGTTGGAAACACAGGAGAACTGTCTGGATGTGAAGAGTATCTAGACTGTGGGGAGGGGGGACTCCCAGCAGGGCCTGATTGCCTCCCCCACTCTTCCAGGCCCTGAACCTTCATCCCCCAAGGGTCTGCAGTACCTTGTGCTCCTGTGTCATGCTCACAGTCAAGAGTGCAACATGGTACCCGGCTTTCGAGGGCCTGGGGGCCGTGATGGGGGACTCGTGTGGGAGTGCTCAGCAGGCCACACCTTCTCCTGGGACCCCTCTTTGGGCTCCACACCTCCAGAAGTGCCGAGGCCAGTCCCTCTTCGTCGCTCTGCCCGGAGAAGCTGGTGTTCAGAGACCAGGAGTGGACAGGAGCCTGCAGGTAGGCTGGGGGAGAGAAGAGTTGTGGAGAAAAGGGAAGACAAACATCTCCCATCTTCTGTGGAGTGCAGCCCTATTGTCTAAAAATGAGCCTGTTATAATGAAAAACCTGCTGATTATGTATATATATATATATCCCCAAATATATTACTAAGTATCAAAAGCAAAATACATACAACAAAACATACCCATTCTACAATTTCCATTCTACCATTTCTACATGTTTTATTCGGTGACACTAGTTACATTCTTCACACTGTGCCATTCATTCTTCCTATCTCTCCCCAAACAATTTTATTACCATCAATTTAGACTCATGACTCCCTAAACGTCTCATATAGTTTTTAGTGTTACTGTTGTTAGTTTTTATCTAATATGTTGTTGTTGTTAAGTGCCGTCGAGTCGGTTCTAATATAGATCACCCTTTAAAGAAGTGCAATGCTCAAGGCAAAGATTTTTTACTAATTGAGCTATACTCTTCATTTGGGTTAAAGATGTCTTCAGGGGAGAAGTACACACCACAGTTCAAGGTTTAAAGATTATCTCAGAGCAATAGAATTGAGGGGTTCCTCCAGTCTCGTTGGGTCTAGTAAGTTTGGATCCTGTAGAGATTTGAAATTATGTTCTACATTTTCTCCTTTTGATCAGGATCCATCTATTGAGTCATTGATCAAAAACATTCAATAGTGGTAGCTACAGCAGTAGTTCATGAAGACAGATCTAATTCCTTCCCCCATCCCTAGTCTAGAAAGGAGACTTTTTACTATGTACCTTTTAAATACGTTTTTTTTTTAACCATGTGAATGTATTATAAAATAAAATTCTCATTCCCATTCTGGTAGCCTCTGCTTTTTCCTCCTCTTTCCTAAGAATACTCTCACATCAGACCTTAGAACTCTACCTGTTGTCTTTCCTTGAGCCCAGAGTTCCTTCCCCTTTGACCCTGCCTGTGTCAACAGGTTTGGAATCTGAGGATGGTGAGAAGACTCATGAGACCAGGTTGTCAAGGTGAGGTTCTAAAGGAGGGTAGGATAGACCTGGATGGATGATAACAGTGAGGGAACAGGACCTCAACTTTGCTTTCCTTGACCTGTAGGGGGGTAGGCCCACCACCAGAGACTTCCCTGCCCCCAGGAGAGGAAGAGAAGGAGGAAGAAGAAGAAGAAGAGGAGGAGGAAGAGGAGATGCTCAGTGATGCCAGTCCATGGACCTACAGCTCCTCCCCAGATGAGCAAGTGGGGCTGAGGAGGGATAAAGAAGAGAACAGGAAGAGGAAGCCGGCAGCTGGCTGAGAAAGCTAGAACTCTGCAGACTTGAGGGATGGGCTGTTAGATAGAGTGGGAGGAAGATGGGCTTTGGAGAAGCTAGAAAGAATTGCAGGCTTTGAAGTGAAAGGTAGAATGGGGTGAAATCAGGATTTGAGAGAGACTGAGGGCTAAAAGTTGGTGTGAGCAGAGAGCCTGAGGTGGGTTTGGGATGGTTCTGACCTTAGGGATTTAGGAACAGGAGTTAGAAGAGGCTGGGGTTGATTTGAAGGCTTGGGTAGATAATGCCTTTCTCTTTGTTCTCCTTTCAGCAGTGAGCCAGATGCCCCCAGGTCTCCCAGACCACCTCCTGCCTCTCTCACCCACTCCCTTAAAGAGGAGGAGACACCACCTGCCCCTTCTGATCTCCCTACTTCTCTGGCTCCACTATCGTCTTCAGTATCCTCACTGGGCTCTGGAATTCCTCTGACTACAGAAGTCAGGATACAACCAGAGCTTAGTGGGACCCCTCAGGCAGCCCAGGAGACTGAGCCCCCAGCCAGGTAACATGATGGCTGAGACAGGATATGGGAATCTTGGGGACATGGCCCTCCTCGACCCCTCAGCTACCCTCTTTGCTGTCCATAGCCCTGGGAGTCAGGCCCAGTCTGCTCCAGCCCCCTCTTGGGATGAAGAAACTGCACAGATCGGCCCCAAGAGAATCAGGTAGGACTGGGAGAGCAGGGATTCTAAAGAGAGAGAGATGAGGAAGGAGGCAGACGGGAGTGGGCAAGACTTTTCCTGTTCTTCCCCATTCTCTTCTTAGGAAAGCTGCTAAAAGAGAGCTTCTGCCTTGTGACTTCCCTGGCTGTGGAAAGATCTTCTCTAACCGGCAGTATTTGAATGTGAGGGGCACAAGTTGGGTTCTGTGTGTGCAATGGGTATGCAGTAGAGAGGACTGGAGAAAGTAAGGAAAAGGAATTGAAGGTGTAGAGGGATTTGAGACTAGAAAAAAAAGTTGAGCTAGACATTAAAAGCTTTCTTTAATAATCAAGTGATGGCTTTACTAAACTAGACAACTGATAGATAAGGCATCAAAACCAAGCCTCAATTGCATAAAGCCACTGACCACTACTTCTTATGAAATGGAATCTCAGAAAATTACATGCAGATAGACAGTGGTACTTAACAAGTTCTTATGGCATGCTAGTAAGTATTGGTACTGTAAGATAAGCACTGGAATGCTAACCACAAGGTTGGTGGTTCAAGTCCACCAACCACTTGATGGAAGAAAGATGAGACTTTCAGCTCCTGGAAACCTTATATATAAGGTCTTGGAAACCTTATATATAAGGTCACTGTGAGTCGGAATCAACGTGATGGCAGTGAGTTTGGTTTAAGAGATTGTTCTAAGCACTTGACATGCATCAAGTCATTTGATCCTCACAGTATCCCTATAGAATAACCCAGTGCCATGGAGTTGATTCTGCCTCTTGATGACTCCATGTATTACAGAGTAGGACTGCTTTTATGGGGTTTCCATGGCTGCCATCTTTTATGGAAGCAGATTACCAGGTCTTTCTTCTGAGGTTCTACTGAGTGGGTTTAAACAACCAACCTTTAGGTTAGTAGTCAAGCACAAACCAGTTGTGCTACCCAGGGGTCTCCCCATGGAGTAGGTGCTATTAATATTTTTACCTTGCAGATGACAAAACTGAGGCACATAGCAAAGTGAAGCAATGGTTGCACTTTGCCCACGGTTCCTCAGCTATAGTATGTGGTGGTACAGGAATTCTGAGCCTGGCAGCTTGGTTCAGAGTCCCCACTCAGGCGACCTCATCATGTTTTCCAAATAGATTGTCCTACAGTGGGAAGAACTGGTAGATGGTCCTTTCCCAAACCTCACTGCGTGAGAGATACGAAGCACAGAGAGATGAGGACTTGAGTCCTCAACAGGGCAAGTCTTGAGGCTGGGGGAAGGCACCAGACCCGAGGGAGGGATGGCAAGACATGTGGACCGGATCGGGGAAGCACTGTGTAGAGAAGATGATGTAGAGAGAAATCCAGTGGGAAAGTGGGGGGTGCCCCTGTGTGTTCCGGAGTGTCAGTGAATACAGAGAATACTAAGTTGGAGCTGGTCAAACATAGTTATGTCTGTTATGGAGGAGACTGAAACAGCCCCCAGGGTCATAACTGTGGAGGAAAGAAAATGGTGTTCTAGAGAAGAGGGAAACCCATGGCATTTGGTGAGCCAGGATTTGAAATTAGTCCAGTACTTCCCATATTGGGGAATTCACAGTTTAAGAACCCTTAAAGTATTCTATGTTGAGTGTGTCTGTGTTTTAAAGCAGATTTAGGAAATAATAGTGAATAGTATACTTGTAGTGAGCTGTTAATGAAAATTAGTATGTCTGAGATATTTTTATGACTAATATTGAAGAGAATAATCATGTGAACAATAACCATGTTATCCCTTCCCACCCTGGTTAAGTAAACCAGAAGTTTTATTTAGAGCAGTACTTTTCATAGTGAAGTAGCTTTTGCAAGGTTAGGGTATAGCACAATCAGATGGTGGAAATGGAGAATAGAATAGGGTAAAGGGTAGATGGGATCACAGTAGAGATGAGGATCTCATGGTAGAGATAAGGATTGAGTCAGGGTGATGTGAATGTCTAGCTGTAACAGGGAGAACTGCTAGGACACAGATGTTATAGGATGGAGACAGGCAGAAGACCCCACCTCCTGGGTAAGCTCTAGATTACGAACTTTTCCTCTTCTTCCCTGCCACCTGCTTCCTTCCCTAGCACCACAAGAAGTACCAGCACATCCACCAGAAGTCCTTCTCCTGTCCAGAGCCAGCCTGTGGGAAGTCTTTCAACTTTAAGAAACACCTGAAGGAACATGTTAAGTTGCACAGCGGTGAGTGGTCAAACTGCCACCATCCACTCTTCCTCTGGGGGTTCCTAGACATCCTGTTTACTGATTCATCCTTCATCACTGTGTTGAACAACTGATTCAGACTGTCTAGGTGCTGATACTGGGAATTCAGCAATTAACAAACAGTCCATAACTTCATGAGATTTCCATTCTAGTGATAAAGTGCTATAAATAAATGTAAAGGTGGGATAAAGGAATAGAATATGCTCTTGTAGAAAGGGAAGGCTCTTTGAGTAATGACTTCAATAATCTGAGGACCTGAGACCTGTACAGGTCTACGGGAACAGTGGGAGGGAGGTGGGAGGCAGAGGCCCTGAGATAGGCTCTGCATGGTATGTTTGCAGAATAGGAAGTATAGAGAGGGCCTGCTGAGGTTAGAAAGGAAAGACTGAAGTAAGATAGGTGCTGGGAGCCTCAGAGACATAGGATGGCTTAGCTATGCTAACTGCAGAGTTGACAGATCAAACCCACCAGGCCCTCCTAGGAAGCCCTGTAAGTCGCGATAAGTCGCGACCAACTCAACAGCACTTAACAGCAACAGTTAACTATCCCGAGGAGCCCTGTAGCTTAGTGAGTTATTTGTTGGGCTGCTAACCACCACCAGGTCATCAATTTGAATGGGGGAGAGGGACATTGACAGATGACAGGGAATTCCCTGGGGGCGCTATGGGTGAAAGAAGAAATATTCAGGCTTGAAAGGGGAGAATATTCTAGGTGCTAGGGACTGGTCTTGGGGCTTGGAGAATTTACATCTAATTTCCCAAGCCCCTTTCCAGACCTCCTCCTGTTACCTTCTGTCCATATAAGGACCCAGCTTTCTCTTGTATCTCCTTTGACAAGCTTCAGGACCTAAATGCAAGCTGATGTAACAGTGATGGGAGTTCAGAGACTTGGGCAGGACTTAGGGTAACAGTGATACCCAAGTTTTTTAGATGTGTCCTGCTTTCTGTTTTTCTCTCATTTGTCAAAACTGGTTAAGTAAAAGGAGGTTCAGAGATTTGCCCACGAACAATAGCTACTTATAACCCAGGCCTCCTGACTCCAACACTGGTGCATTCTTGTGGGGATGGTGGGTGAGTGGACAGAGTTGGTGCTGCATCCTGAAGACAGATGCTGAGGTGTCCCATGTGCCCACAGACACCCGGGACTACATCTGTGAGTTTTGCGCTCGGTCGTTCCGCACCAGCAGCAATCTTGTCATTCACCGACGTATCCACACTGGAGAGAAACCCCTACAGTGAGTGCTGTGAAACAGGCCTGGGGGCTAAGGGACCATGGGGCTGGCAGGGACACAGGCAGGGCACCCAGACCCTGGGGGAGCCCCTATCTTCCTTCCTCTGCCCCTGGTTCCAGGTGTGAGATCTGTGGGTTTACCTGCCGCCAGAAGGCTTCCCTGAACTGGCACCGACGCAAGCATGCAGAGACGGCAGCTGCCTTGCTCTTCCCCTGTGAGTTCTGTGGAAAGCGGTTTGAAAAGCCGGACAGTGTTGCAGCCCACTGTAGCAAAAGCCACCCAGTCCCACTTCCGAGCCCACAGGAGTCATCCAGCCCTGTGGAACCTTGTCCCAGTGTCTGTGTCCCAGGGCCTCTAGAGCCCAGCGAGGCCACTGGAGCTAGCTCCTCCCTGTCCCCTCCAGCTCTGGTCCTGCTCCCTCAGAAATGAGTTCCTCCTCCTAGGTTTTAGGGAGCCAGATTACGGACTTAAAAGGAGCCAGGAGAGTGGTGTAAAGGAGAAGCACCAGATGCTTGGGTCCTCAGGGACTAGGAGTTCAGGGACAGTACGTACTCCTGGGAAAGTAGGGGAGCCGGACTACTTTAGACTACCTAAAGGACAGAATAAATAGTATTTTACTTGATTATGTGTGGGCAGAGTTGAGTGTTTTGGCATCGGAGGCATAGAAATCCTAATTCTACTAAAAGCTAGCTTTGTTGAGTATAGGTGTGTGACCCTGGTCCTCTTCTTACAGGTTTCTTGCTTGCCCACTTTCCTCTCACTCTGAAGTCCCCTGCTTGTTTTAGGTACTGTTTGACTCTCTGCAGCCCTTTCCCAAGAAGTGTCAACCCCACGCTTGTTTCTCCAGGGTGTGCACAGGAAGAGGAGAAGTATGTGATTCTGGGCCACATTAGTAGTCACCATTGAGAAAACCAAACATGTAAACCCTGAAGAAGCTTGCCTTCCAGTGCAGTAGTGAGGGGCCCTATGTTCAAGATTGCTGAGCTATCTTGGGAAAAGAGGAGAGGCCTTGGAACTGCCAATAGATTTGGGTCTTGGAATACTTCAAATCTGCAAAGACCATTAGCCTCAAGTTCCACAAAGGAGGTTCTTGGCACCAGGAACCAAAACAAATAGCTCTTTATTTCACTAGCAGTAAGCAAAAAGTTGTTAGCCAATTCCAAGGAATTTGTAGAACTTGTTTTACCATGAGCAGACACCCTGGCTCCAAGCTTGATTTGGAAATAGTATTCTGATGCTCCACTTGGCAATGTCAGGCTTGTAGAGCCACTTGGTATGGGCCCAGGGTCCACAGCAAATGTCAGTCTTCCCTCACCTGTCTGAAGAACACTGTTGTGAGAGCAGTGTCTCCAGGTGGCCTGACCCAGGGACAGGTGGGTTGCCATGCTGAAAGGCCCTTGCCAACCTTCACACTGGTGGGCCACTCTGTCAGGCACCTGGTATAACATTGTTCACTAAAGTGAGCTCTCTGCCTCCAAAATTCCCACCTTGACCTGTCTCAGAAACTGAGGGAGAAAGCAGCAGAGACAAAGCATCTGAACCAATAGGCAAGGCAACCACCGGTTGATGGGGTCTGATCTTGGAGCCACACCTGTGCTAATGAGCTGAGTAGACAGCCGACAAACAGATCATAGAAATGAAGGTTTGAGTAAAGATATGGGGCAAGAGAAGCAACACAGGGTGGGAAACAGCACAACAGTGCTGGTCCACACCATCATGGGCCCTCTTCCATGCTTGGGGTCTGGGAGGCTTTCCCTGATTCCCTGCACCAACTACTGTGAGAGAAGCTGGGGGATAAAAAGAGCTGACAGGTAGGCCAACTAACAGAGATGGAAGGAAAGGCAGGTCATCCTGTCATTCCCCAAACCCTGGTTAGGAAGTTCCCCCAAAAGTCCCCAGTAGTGGCAGTTGTGGGTGTTTGCACAGCTCCCTTTTCCCCTCAGATAACAGCAGATCTCCCCTAACTAGAACATAGGAACCTCTTACTGTCCAGACTCCCTTGTAAAAATAAGGGGAGCACCTGTGGAGCTAACATCTGAGGTGGTCTTAGTTGCAGCAGCGCGGGCACGTGTGTGGGCGCGCTGGTGCTGTGACAGTGAGCGGCTGTGGCTAAAGCACTTGCCACACTCAGCACACTCAGCTGGTCGTTCCCCTAGGTGTGTCTTGCGGTGCAGCGCCAGCTTGGAACCCACACTAAAGGCCTTGCCACACTCAGGGCACTTGTGGGGCTTGTAGCCGGCATGGTTGCGCCGGTGCACATTGAGATTGGACACACACGTGAAGCGCTTGCCACACTGCTCACAGCGGTAGGGCTTCTCGCCGGTGTGCGTACGCCGGTGCTTGGTAAGGTCTGAGCGGTCGCTGAAGCGGCGGCCGCACTCAGGACAAGGAAAAGGCTTCTCCCCCGTGTGGATACGTTGATGGACCACTAAGTCTGAGCGCTGCCCAAAGCCTTTGCCGCATGTGCCGCACGCGTGTGGCCGTTCACCCTGGTGGCTACGCCGATGGCGCAGCAAAGTGGAACTCTCACTGAAGCAGCGCCCACAGTCATTGCACACGTACGGCTTTTCACCCGTGTGTGTACGCTGGTGCCGCACCAGCGTGGCACTCTCCAAGAAGCCTTTGCCACACTCTGGGCACTTGAAAGGCTTCTCGCCGGAGTGTGTTTGCAAGTGTCGCGTCAACGTTGAGCTCTTACCGAAGCTCTTGCCGCACACGCCACACTGATAGTCCCGAGCGGGCAGCTGCTGGCCTGCAAGGTCAACAGGGCTTCTGGAGGTGTGGACGCGAGCGTGGCTCCGCAGCCCTGCTCGGCTTCTGAAGGCCCGTGGACACAATGCACAGGTGTGTGGCTGGTTGGTGGGTGCGGCAGATGCCCCCAGCGGATGTGCCCGCTCCTGATGGAATCGCAGGGCGCTCTGGCGGAAGGTGCGAGCACACAGAGGGCAGCGTCGGGACCTCTCAGGAGGGTGCCAGAGGCGCCGATGTAGCAGCAACGCTGGGAGGTGTGGGAAGCGGCGGCCACAAACTCTGCAGGGGCAAGCGCGGCTACGCCGTCGGTGTGCGCCCTGGTGCAAGTCTAGACGGCCGCTGTGGTGAAAGCTTTGGCCACACTCGCTGCAGATGTACAGTGTTTCTCCAGCGTGGGCGCGCCTGTGCTCCCGGAGATCTGCTGCTTTCACACAGCGCTCACCACATTCGAGGCATCGGAAGCGACTCTCACCACCATGGCAGGTACGCTCGTGCCGCAGGAGAACAGAACTGTAGCGGAAGCTCTTGCCGCACTCGCTGCAGGTGTAAGGTCTCCCAGCTGCTGTCCCTGGTGCCGCGAACATGGCAAGGACCTGGGGTCCTCTAGGAGCAGACTGGGGGCCAGGCTGGCAGGGAACTTTGCAGCTCAAGCTCCCAGGTTCGTCTCCTCGGACTGCCAGTAATTTTCAGTTTTCATACAGCCTGGAAAGGGAGTGATAATGGATGGAATAAGGAGACCTCAAAAGCTGTTCTGTGACTTGGGGGCTGCTTCTCCTATGGGCATATACTGTGACTATTTCAGAGGTATGCCCTGTGAGCCCTGCCAGGAGAAGATCCAGCAAGAACTATTCATAGGGGAGGGCGCATTTCAGCTAAAACATCTTTCAGTTCTATTTCCCAGAGGAGACAAAGCCATGGAAAATCCCAGAAATGCATAGAGGGGAATTCTTGTGTCACCTTGAAGGCCAGAGGAAGGGACTGTGACTGTTCTGGAGAATGTTGTCTTCAGCAGGAACCACTAAAACTGCTGGGAAGAAAATGGCCAAGCCTGGCTTTTGTCTTTAAGACCTGGGATCCTGGCCTGGGGATATATTAGGAAGCCAACAAGGATAAATGGGGATATAAGAAAGCCCTACGCCTAGACAACACAAACATTTCCCTACAAGACCCAGGTTTCCTGAGTCACCAAAATGCTCAGAAAGACTCTGATGTTACTAGAAGCGACTAAGGTCTGGGTAAGAGAGTATACCTGATAAACCCCAAAACAATGTTCCTTGGCTTTTGACAGTGCCTAATATATATTTACTCCTTCCTATACAGTACACAGCCCCAAAGTTCCTTGGTCTGGGCTTGAGAAAGCAACTTAGTCAAGAAAATGCGTGAGAAGCGAGCATGGATAGTTCACAAAGAATATCATAAAAACTTAATTCTAAGAAAGACTTTATGAATTTTTAGGAGAAAAGGGGCATCCCCTTCTAATCTCAGGGTATCCAGCTTGTTTGTTGAACATTCTTCATTTTCCACTGCCTCAGCTCCAGGCATCTCAGAACAGGAGTAGGAAAGAAAGAAAGCGCCTTTACGGGGACCAAATCTGCTCTAACCTGTTTATCTCAATTTTATTTATCAAACATCCTTTTGACAGATTTTTCCAGACAGCTGTCTGGAAACTAGGTCAGTGGTTGTCATTTGAGGGCATAAATGTGGCCCTTCTCACCCTCATTGTCTTCCCCAAGGCTTCACAGATTTGTCCCTGCCCAGTTCAGGAGAGTGATCACCCAACCTAAAATGTGGCAGAGGTCACCACACCTAAAATGGCTAGTAGTCATTTTCTCATTATCACATGGAAATCCACTGTAAATACTCAGAACTTTGGTTAAACACTCCAGAGATGGGGGTATTCGTCTTTTGGGTACAAATAGGGTCAACTGAAAAATCCTTGAAAACCACCAACCTGCAGGGCTGAGGTCTGGAGCGTCTGCTCCCCTCCACCCTGGGCAGTAGTGGCCACCATAGAAAGTTCTCTTCTTATACCTCGGAAGTGGGATTTGCTGTGCCCTGCAGGGGTGAAGTAAGGAAAAAAATGTGAATTCAACTGAGCAGAGGAAAGAGGCAAGGGAAGAAGAACAGGGAAAGCTTTCCAGGAAGAGTTCTTTCAATGGACATTTTCTAATATTAAAACTATCAGGCACTATATTATGAAACAATTACTCACTTCTATCTACCATTTTGCCCATCCTTGTTTCAACTCAAAAATCACTTTCCTTTTCCCCCATTCCTTTTGTCTGGAGTACTTTAAATCCCAGACATCTTTGTTGAAGGAGGGCACATACTAAACAAAATCTGAAAGCACAGACAGAAGACGGTCTTCTGCAGACTAAGAAGTCCCTCAGTTCCTCCAGAGACACTTGCACTGCTGAGTCTAGCTCAATGTGGGATCATTCTGCTGCATAGCAGTTTCAATGAAAAGAAATATTTGCCCTGGCATGAATAAAACCCTGGAGACTCAGTTGTTGT